AAACATGAAGGATGCTCAAAGGTAGTGGCCCTGCCGCCTCCCACTGAATTGGGAAAATACCTTCCATTACCCCTGACCGTGGATTAAGGGGTCTCAGATCCAGAGAGCCCTGAGGCTGAGCTGGACTTGCCTGCGAGGATGTGCAGAAGGAATGCCCCAGCCTTTCTGGCTTCAGAGGGTGCAGTGTCCCCACCAACTCTTTTCCAAATCTGCCTCAGCCTGCATGAGGCCCCTTTCCCTGGTAATCACTTTGTTTGCTTGAAGGAGAAAATCGAGAAAGAATCTTCCCTCTACCCTCCCTTGTCCCAGCCATCCCTAAAGCAGTCCAGTGTTATGATTCATCCACCTTTTATTTGCTTCAAGGATTTTCCATGGCAACTCAGAGGCCCCTCTCTTCCCATTTGGCTGGATTCCAAGACCATCAAAGATCTATTCAAAAAAAAAAAAAAAAAAAAAAATCAGTATCGAGTGAGGGCAGCTGGTTCCCATTTGGTTCAGCTGTGATCCTGAAGTTTCTGTGTTATGGTGTAGCCTTCATTTCTGGATCATCAGTGGATTTCTCTACCACTTTCACTAGCACCAGCCATGGGCTGCAATTGTACTCTAGTCAAGGACGGAGGGAACAAGAAATAGTTACGGCAGAAACCTGGGCTTGAAAATGCATCTCTCCTTGAGCTGGCACTGTGAGAAGGCCATGGCTGAATGAGGGGGCATTAGAGAGTGAGCCTTGGGTCAGGCTGCGGGCCTGGGAAGGCCAAGGGTAGGGCCAGCTGGGAAGAGAGTCCTTATTGCTGGCCGTTGAAGGAGTGAGCTGTTGGGAGCAAGGGCCTGTGTGGCTGGAGGGTGGAGGTCAGATGTAAGGTAGAACTTTTCTATAAAGGATGGGAGACGTGAGGATGACCAGGATGGCCGTCTCCAGCCTGCTGGGCCACCACACCAATGTCTGAAGAAAGGCCAGCGCCCGGAAGAGGCCACTTGCACAGCCGGCGCTGTCTCCTCTCTGCCTCTCCAGACCCTTCGTGCTGGTCTCAAGTTTCATTTTGATGCTTCTGCTCCCAGTTTACTCAGCTCAGGATAAGCTGCCCATCCCAGTCTGCTCCAACCTCTCTCCCTCCAAAGTCACGCCCACCCTCCGCATCCCAGCTCCACCTCAGTCCACCACCTCCTGTCTCTCCCACCTCCTCCCTGTCCCCATTGCTTCCTGTGGGGCCCACACCTCCTCCACTGCTCTGGCCACCTCTGAACCAGGGCTTCAAGGAAAGCAAAAGTGGAGCTGGGTCCTAGGCACTGTCCAGACGCCCCCAACACTGAGAGGATCCACGTCCACGGCCTGGAAGTGACAATGGGCCACAGCTTCTGCAGGCAGCCTGCAGTAGGAAAGTCCAAGGAAAAGGGACCCAGCCAGTGCCTGGGACCCAGAGACATCAGGCTTTGGCTGATAGAATATGACAGAAGTGCCAACAGAAAATGGGCAGGGAGCCTGCAGGGCATCATGGGAGGGTGAAAAGGTGCAGCCGCTGGAGAGGCAGGGGCACAGAGTTCCCATCCGGGGAGGCGGGTCAGTGGTGTGGAAAGAGTGTGGGTTATGGAGAGACAGACCTCACTGGATTCTGGCTCTGCAGCCCTGGGGTTAGTATGTCTCTGCCTTGGGGATAAGAACACCCGCCTCAAAGGGATGACCCAGGAGCTGTGCCCAGGCTCCAGAGCCTGGCCCATGGAAGGTGCTCCATAAACATCAGCTTCCATTTCCCTGCCTGGTACTCTGGGTTTGAAGTGCAGGACACGCCATGGGGGCGAGGCTCTGCAGATGGAGAGAAGTAGTTGAGCAGTGGCCAAGGCTGGGAGGCCTCCACCACCTCGGCAGGACCCCCAGGTGCCGTGGGGGAACCTGCTGCTCTCCTCAGTCCCAGAGGTGTCCTGAGGGTGCCAACCTCCATGTCTACAGCCAGTTTGACCCCCAGCAGCCCCTGATAGTTCCACCTCTGTGCTGCTGTGTCTGGCTTGGCCTGCTGCAGGCACCCTCCAGCTGGGTGTCCCAAGGACCAGCTCCTGTCAGTGTCCGCAGGGAAAGCCTGGAGTCAGAGGAGAGACAGGCCATCAGCTCCTGCTGAGTGCAAACGGGTGCCAGGCACATGCTGGGAATATGAAGGTGAAGGCAATCCAGTCTCTGGTCACTGACACTGGGAGAGATGCCAGAAAGGACCGGTAAGTCCTTTCTGTTGGAGTAACTGGAAGAGAGAAGGGCTCTCTCCCAAGCAGCACTGTCTGCACTTGAGGAAACAGACTCTACAGCAAACAAACTATGACTCCTCTCCTCCTCTCCCAGAGTCCTGCAGCCACAGCCCCCTCTGCCTTTGGATACCTTCCTCACCCCGCCCCAGCCCTGCAGCCCTCCCCCAGGCTCCCTCTTGCACCAAACGCTCCTGCTCAATGAAGCTGTCCAGTTGCTTGTAGTGTTGTCTTGGGCCAGTCTCTGTCCCCAGCCCAAGAGATGCTCCACCTTGGGATTGACTCACTGACATGTTGTTCCTGCTGGTAAACTATACGGAGCATTTCCTGCTATATAGTACAGAGGCCACCCCCCATTGGGACACCCGGGTCTTGTGAAGAGTGCCTGCAGCACTAGTCCTCTTCCACATTTACCCTGTGATTGCCTCTTCCTGGAACCTTCCAGGTGGGAGAAGCAGGAAGGTGGCAGCACTGCCAAGGCGAACTCCTGTCCAGATTTGTGAGTCGGAGACCTACACCCACTCTCCTCCCCGTGGCCCCCTAAAAGGCAGACAATACACAGGGTACCCTTGAGGTCTAGCCCAGGGTGGCTATAGATAGGCTGGGGCTCTGATCCTCAATTTTTTCATCTATGATAATGGCCGTAACAACAGTCCTTCACTCCCAGAGCTGTTCTTAGGCAATGGGTATGAAAATGCTTTGTAAACTGTAAAACAACAGATAGGCACCCATCAGAAGAAAAATATGTACTATTACTTCCTCCACTGGTTACTGTGGCAGACATTACTAACCAATCAAACCATTCTTTCCATCTGTATCTGGATGCTACCACAGCATCCCCCAAATCGCAGTTTAGGCTGATGGCTCCCAGTTCTCGCTGCTCATTAGAACCCCTTTGCTGACTTTTAAAATATACCAGTCAGTGCTTAGGCCCTACTTCCAGTAGCCTTACTTAATTGGTTTGGAGTAGAGGCTTAGACATCAGTATTTTTCTAAGTTCCCGGGTTATTTTTTAGTCTGTGTAAACAACTACTACTCTTGGCAGCCATGATCAAATTACCACACAGATTCACATGGTGGCCACCTTGCCTGCTAGTCATTGTCATTATTCCCTTTCCTCAGATCCCTCACTTGCTCCCAAAATTGTCCATCAAGCCCTGAGCTCTCATGCTGAACCTGTCAAGCTGATAGCTCAGGCCCCTACCATGGGCCCCAGGGCTGGGTTTCTGAGTCTCCTGCAGGAGGCTCCAGTCTCCAGCACTTTGTTTCATGGCTCTAGAAAACAGACTCAGAACCCAGGATAACCCTGCTCACTCAGGAGACCTCTGTGAGCCCTGGAGCATAAAGGGAGTTCTTCCCTCCCTCCTCAAATCTGCGTGATAAACCAGCATCATCTAGAGAAGACTCCACCTCCCCATTTGGAATCTAGCCACTTCTTTTAGCCTCTCACCTGGAAAATTACTTCTGCTATCCAGCCTCGGTCCCTACTGTTGCAAAGGCAGGAGGCTAGCAAAGGCAGCAGGTGTGCATGGTGCCTTCACTGAAGAAATGGCAATGTCTGTGCCCAGTACTGAACACACACACACACATGCATGCACACACACACACGCCTCACCTTATCAACCAAGCTTGCAAACATGTTGTTGAGCCTTATTCCACTTACCCACCTGCTAGATGGCGGTGCTGACGGGTTGATGACAGCCAGGAGTCTCCGACTCCGACCACCTCCTGGGCAGGGGCTTTTGAGCCTTGCTCTAAGTCCCAGTTACTACTCTAAATGTCCTAGATGTCAACTCAGACCATCTGTCCCTTCCTCTGGACCCTCTGTCTTCCTCTTCCATTATACTTGCTCTTCTTGCCCCAAATTCTCATCCTCTGATCCCTCTCTAGCCCAGCCCCAACCCCAGGCCTCCCTGCTCCTCCACGAAACTGAAACCCTCTTCCTTCCCCCAAATGACGTCATTAGTGTGGCTACTATGAGACTAGATGGCTGCCTACTCACTACAAAGACATTGGTTTCCCACCCACCTGCAAATGCCCTGCGCCTCCTACTCCTCCCCTGCCCACCCCAGACACAGAGCTGGCCTGGGGAGTCTGTCTGTTCACTCTCCTTACACCCCTTGCCAAGGCAGGACTGGCCATCACCATAGTGGTTCTGGAAGGTGGGATAAGAGTATGTCTGGGGCAGTGCCAATGCCACAGTCACTGAAATTCATAGCCCACCCCCACCCCATGGTGGGACTCCAGCTCACTCCTCCCTACTCCAGCCCCAGCTTCTAATACTTGTCACTTATCTTTCCATCAGAGAGGCCCAGAGTGTGGGACTCCTACCTGCTGAACCCCTCAGGAGGCCAGGCCTCTGAGCAGTGAGGAAAGGGCTGGACAAATGCAAATACCTGTGCACTGAGCCAACCTTCCGACGAGGAAAGGTGCAGTCTCAGAAAGAGGCAAAGTCATGTCAGGAACGCGAGCATTTCTGTCACTGGACACAGTTTGTGCATGTCCATCTGCTGAAGCCTCCAGCCAATACATGCACATGCTTTCTGGGCTTCTCCTTTCCCCCCTCCCTGCCCCTCCTCTCAGACCCTGCTCCACACCCCATTTGCCTCCTGAAAATTAACACAGATGTACAAGCTGCATGGGCAATACACAGTTATGTACTTGTGTGTGTGTGTCTGTGCTTCGTGCATTCATGAGTGTACATGGTGTGCGCTCATGTGAGTGAATTGAGGTGCATGGGTGTACTTTGAATACTCAGAGACCAAGCCATCAGATTGTGCTGTTTATTGAGGATGCAACAGAGGAAGGCCGTTAAGAATAAAGGAAAAGTGAACAGTCCTGCTCTTCTCTGCTTCTGGGTGCAGGTAAGTGGAGAAAAAGGCCTTGAATTGCACTTGGTCCCACTCAGATCTGAGACTGAGCTAGATGTGGGGGTGGGGACTGGGCCACTCTTGATTGTTTGTCCTTCAGTCCTCCCTTTCTTGAACATAGAACCAGCTCCTAGCATAGGCAGGAGCTACGCTAGGCCTCAGTGTGTGCAGGGCCTTGGGCAGAGGCCCAGGGAGCACAGCAGAGTAGTTAGCAACTGAGCCAGAGGCGGGGCAGAGGAGGAAAGCTGGGAGCCAGGACCTGAGCTGGTGGTGTAGCCGCACAGCCAAGGAGTGAATACGGTGTGTGCAGGGAGGAATTTCACCAAGTTTGGTCATCCAGGCCTTCCCAGGCTCAGGAAGACACAGGCTTGGAGAAGTGGGTGGCCAAGGCCAGTGTCAGGTGTACGGGAGCAGGACCAGCAGGGTGGAGATGGAGCTAAGAGTGGGCTGTGGGAAGTACAGTGTGGGATCCAGAGCCAGGTCATGGAATGAGGCAGGGCCCGAGGCAGTCTTCTCTACCGACTGGCTTTCTTGGAAGGGGCACTCAGGCTGGAACCCTTCCCCAGGGTGTCTTTGTAATCGCTGGCAGTGCCCCGGCTCCTGCCCTCCCCACCTCTCACGCTGCACACTCCAGAGATGCAGCCGCTGCTGTTGGCCACGTAGCCGCCGCTGACCGTGCTGGGCCGGAAGCCATAGCCACTGCCGCCGCTGGTGCTGCTGATGATGGCTGCAGGAGGAGCCGAAGCCAACACCCACTCAGACAGAGAGCTGGGGAGGCCTCCTTTACCCAGGACAGACAGGGCTCTTCTTGGAGGAATTGAGGGGGGAGGCGCACACCGCTCCCTCCCCCTGGAGAGAATGTACCAAAGACAGCTTCCCTCATGCTCTGACCTTGGCTTGCTCAGCTTATACCCAGTCTGACTGAGTCTTGCCCCATTAATGCTCAGTGGCCCAACTCCTTGGTCCAGGTACCAATACGCCTACCTGTCCTCCTGGACACCCACCCACTGCCCTTTCTATTAGCCTTTTTGCTAAACTTTCCAGCCTCCAACCTTTCCCTCCTGCTAGCTGTCCCACAGCAGGCATCTTTTCCAAGCTCTGGTTTAACTCTTTTAGCCCCGCTAAGCAATGCAGTGACCTGATACTGCCAGCTTGACCTCTGAGATCCCTCATTCTCTCACTCCCTCAGCCCTCCCTACTTCCCAAGCCCAGGTCTGATTGCAGTTTGCAAACCTGACCCCCTAAGCCTCACACAGACCCATGCATCATTTTTCTGCAACATGACCCTTGTTTTCCCATGACAATAGCTTTCCCTTGCTGCCATCCCCTAGGAACAGAAAGTCGGAGAGATAAGAATGAAAGAGGCCTGGCCTGGGAGTTAGGAAAGCCGATTCTGGCCATGGCTCTGCCATCTGGCTTTGTGATCTCAGGCAAAGCTTTTCCGTCTCTGGTTCTTAGATCCCTCATCTACACACACAGGGTGTCACTAAGGTCCTTTCCAGTCTGCAGATTTTACAGTTTTAGGTCAAAGCATACAAATACTTACAGATGCTGACAGGGGAGGGAAATTCTCCTGACATCCTGTTAAGGAGAGAAATAAAATAAGAGAGAGAAGTCATTCAGCTCACAGTCTCTTCAAAGCTACTGCCATCCCCAGTCTGATGTGGGTTTTTGAACCCAACAGGCACCTGTTGAAATTCCAAAGTTTCTTTGATATAAATAGAGCCTGAGAAGTTTTGGAGACTACCCCCGAATCTTTGGGTAACCAGACAACAACCCTAGTTAGACAATAGTTTACAAGAGGTGCACACATGGGGGCAGTGTATCTACCTCCCACGTGTCAGGTCCACACACCAGCCTGCCAACCCCTGTAGAGCCCTGGGGAAGCTGGGGTGGTGGCCCCAGCACACCCTCAACAAGCCCATGTTGCACATGGACAGATGAAGAAGAGAGAACAAGAATGCCTAATAGAGTAATGGGGTTTTGCAGGGAGCAGAGTGGTGGATATTTCTAGTATGCCTGGGAAGAATGAGCAAATCTGCGTAGCTTTCCACACAGCACAGTGCCTGCCATGAAACAAGCTCTCACAGTCTATTATGAGTGGATACTCATGTCCACTCACGGTAGTATTATTAATTACTATCATTATTTCTATCCTCATCACCCCACCACTTCCCAAGAACTCGTGTCTTCTGGATTGAGATGTGTTAGGGTTTCTCCTTTGGGTCTTCCCAAACCCCTGGGGTCCTCCTGCCTGGGCACGCCCCACCCACCTGCACTCCTCGCTCTCCAGCAGCTTGCGGTAGGTGGCGATCTCCATGTCCAGGGCCAGTTTCAGGCTCATGAGCTCCTGGTACTCGCGCAGCATCCGCGCCAGCTCCTCCTTGGCCTGGTGCAGGGCACCCTCCAGCTCGTCCAACTTGGCCCGGGCGTCCTTCAGGGCATTGTCTCCCCGCTGCTCAGCATCAGCAATGGCCGTCTCCAGGTTGGAAGCCTAAGGAAGGAATTGGTGAAGTCGAAAAACTGGGAGGAGTCACTGCGGCTATCCACATCCAAATCCCTCTGGGTCCTTAGAGAGAAGCCCATCTCCACCCTACACACCACCACACTTCTTTTGCAGCCAGAGCCCCTTCTGGGGCTGGTGTGTCCCTCCTTAGCTGTAGCCCCATTCCCTGTGTTGGATGTGTGGGTGATGGAAATCATGCAGCCCTGCCCTCCTGAGCCCCACTTTAGTTCAGCATTAAGACATTTATTCAGCCATATTGTACCAAGGGCACGAAATAAATGACAGTAATGGTCTTGAGTTCTTTAGGTCTGGGAGGAGAGATGGTTGAGTACGCTGTGGCAGACGCAAGGGCAGCAGCTGCCCAGGAGCATGGCACCACAGATGAGGGGGACAAGGAAGGGCACACCTCAGGAACAACTATTATTTGCCAAGCACTTAGTGTATGCCAGCACCACGCTCAATACTGTACATACCATTGACATAAGTTAGCTCATTTAGTCCTTGCAACACCTTGTGAAGTGAGCAGAAGTAACCTGTCCAAGGTCACGAAGCAGCTAAGTGTTAAAGCCCGCAAGAGAATAGAAGGAGCACTGGACTAGGAGTCAGGAGACCTTGGTTCAGATCACAGCTCTGCCACTTACCAGCTGTGTAACCCCCTTATCCTCTCTGAGCCTCAGTTTCCTCATCTGTAACAACAGCGAGGGCAACTGTTGCCTCTCAGGGTCTTGGTGAGGATGAAGTGTGATCGAAGAATAGGTACCGCTGCCATTGTTATCATATATGTACATCTTGTGCCTCACCTACAAGCCGAGGCTATATCCTATATTCCTGGGAGCAGTCCCTAGCCAGTCCTTAACAAGGCACCTTAATGGGTGCTCCCTGAGCCCATTTCTCCATCTCAGTCATTAACTCCACAGATATTTATCAAGCTGCGACTATGTGGCAGGCACTGTGCTAGATGCTGGGGAAACAGGGCACAAAGCAGCCAGCTCCCTGCCCCCTTTCAGTCTAGTGGCAGTGTCAGTAATAACAGGGAGTGTGACAAGTACAGGGAAGCACAGGTGCAAGGAAGGCACATCGCTCGGGGGAGGTCCTAGCCCAGTGCTGAGGAGGCTTCCTAAGGAGGGGCTTCGAGGCCGAAGTCCTTGGAGTGAGTCAGAGATCAGTAGCCCCCAGGGACGTCCTGCTCCGGGTGTTTGAGGCAGCGACCTCACTGGCCTCCTCTCTTCTCCCAGGCAGGGATCTGGGAAGCTGATGTTCTCAGCAGCTCATCTCCCCTCCACTCATGCTCCCCTGCACTTGACCACAGGCCAAGGCCAAGGTGCTCTCACCTGCTTCTTCACGTTCTCGATCTCTGAGCGGATTCTCTGGATGAGCCGAGTGAGCTCCGAGATTTCATTCTTGGTGTTTTTGAGGTCGTCCCCATGCCGGCCAGCTGCCAGCTGCAGCTCCTGGAACTGGGGACCCCAAAGCACAGAGTCATGAATGTGTCGTGGGACTGCATGTATCTCGGGGTCAGAACACAACAGACACTTACCGGGACACTGCCTCTACTCTGGGCACGATCTGTCCCCATCTGCTGCCTGCTGGCATCACCCTCCCTGGCCCCGCCTCAGCCCAGCTCACCTTGGTCTGGTACAGGGCCTCAGCCTCGGCCTTGCTCTTCAAGGCGATCTCCTCATACTGGGCGCGCACCTCGTCGATGATGCTGTCCAGGTCCAGGTTCCGGTTGTTGTCCATGGACAGGATAACGGACATGTCGCTGATGTGGGACTGGATCTGAGTGATTTCCTGCAGAGGACATAGGGAGGTCTCTCAGTTCAGCCACTGTCAGAGGCCAACCACCTCCCCTACACAAGATGAGCAAATTCTGGTGATGCCATCTTGGAGGCTGGAACCCAGGGCTGTTGCCTTCCAGGATTGTTTGCTTTGCAGCAAAGTAAGTTCCCTGCTGGGCCCAGACAGATTCCCACTGCCATGTAGCAAGGGCCTGGCCCATTCCCTTCCCGCTCAGAGGGTGGAGACTGAGGAGACTTGCAAGGCTGATGCGGGAGATGGATGGCTAACTGAGGGGTCTCACTGAGGGCTGGGGCCTCCATGTCTCCCTCAGCCCCTAGAATAGAGTTTAACCCACCAGCCTTCCCCAGATGAACCGAGTGGACAGACAGACTTACAGCTTCAAAGAGACACCTGAAGAACTTGATCTCCTGGTCCATGGATTCCACCTTGGCCTGAAGCTCCACCTTATTGGCGTAAGCCGCATCCACATCCTGAAAGATGCCCCCACCATCCCCTGTCACTGCTGGTACAGCCAAGAAGACAGCAGCCCCCCTGCCTGGTTCCCTGCATGAGGAAGGAGTCACTCTCTTCTCTTCACCTTGCCTTGGGAAAGGAGATAAAGGAGCAAAGGCCCAGCCCCACCCCACCCCACTCTGGGAATCTGAAGTGCCTGTGGTGTCTGAGCTGGGACCCAGGGCTGCAGGGGAGCCCCTGAGCCTTGTCCTCCGTATTCTTCTCCGTGTTCGAACCACAGCCCCGTTGGACATGCAGTCAGGCGTCCTCTCACGGACACTCTCCCTGTCTTTTCATTCTTTTTCCTGGATAATCTTTCATCAAGCTTTTCTCTGCCTTCACCTCACTCTTCCTGAATCAGTTTACCTCGAGAGGGGCTAACAGAGCACCTTAGCAGGCTCCGTTCCTCCAGGTCCCAGGCCAGCCCCCAGGATTCAGGGCCTGCCTTCCTCTCACCTTCTTAAGCAGCACAAACTCGTTCTCCGCTGCTGTCCGCTTGTTGATTTCCTCCTCATACCTGTGGGAATGCGAGGGCCCATTGGTTAATATCTCTCACTGAAAGCCTTTGCTTGCACAGGGCAGAGTTTGAGCAAGGAGCAGCATGTCCATCAGAAGATACAGGTGCTGGGGGCTGCAGAGTACTGGGCAGGGGTGAGTTGGGGAAGGCTTCCTGGAGGAGGGAACATGCTAACCAGTTTGGAAGAATGAGACTGTTGAAGATCCAACTTGGCAAATGAGGAAGGAGCACATGGAGCGAATGCCCTGTGGGACTCTCAGAGGAAGCAAGATGTGAACTGCCCTCCCCAAATTTAAGTACAGCTTTGCAAATGACAAAGTGCTTCAACCTGCATTTTCTCAGTTACCCCTGAGAGCAGTCTTGGAGCCAGATGCACTTAACCCTCCTCTTACATGGGAGGAGAACGTGAATGGTTTCCCCAAACAGTCCCTAAACCCAGAGCCAGAGATAACCCTCTGCCCACTGCCCAGCTCACTGGGCATTTGTCCTAAGAGTCAGGCCAGAGGCTGGAGGAGCAGAGAGCAAGTTCCAGAGTTTTGTTGGGGTGATTCTGCTTGGTATGACCAAGAACAATGCCCCCCACCAACCTCCAAAATGTTTAAGCTGGGTTGACTGCCAGGGGTCCCTCAGAGGGACAGCAGCAGTTGTCCAGTTACAGGGGGTCTCCTCCTGCTCACCTCTTCTTGTAGTCCTCCACTACATCCCGCACATTCCTCAGCTCTGAGTCCAGCCTCACTCTGTCCCCGGACAGCGTCTCCAGCTGCTTCCGCAGGTTGCTGATGTAGCCCTCGAGAATGGGCTCTAGGTTGTTCTTGCAGTTGTTCAGGTCCAGCTGCTGCAGCAGCTCCCACTTAGTCTCCAGCACCTGATTCTGCTGCTCCAGGAACCGGACCTGGAACACAAATCCCGGAAACTGCTGAACCCCTGTGGTAATAGTCACACGTGTCTCTCACAGGGCATTGTGCAAAGCCTCTATCTGCATTTTCTCCTCACTAGAGCTGAAGGAGGTGGGCAAATCATTACTCTATGCCGTGGAGAAAAAACTGAGATGCAAAGCAATGTAGCTTCTTTCCAAGGCCCAACAGTTTAAGAAGCAGTGGAGTCCAGAACTGAACCTAGACACGTGTCCCTGTAACCTGTGCATCCAATCACCCAGCGCCCACCATGGCCGCACCAACTCAGGGCATGGCTGTGATTGAAAATACCAGCAGAGAAGCCAGAATGGGTCCATCATTTTGGACAGGTTGACCATCCTGAAGAACAAAGTCTGCTCTTCATTTCAGGGCATATCAGAGCTCACTAAGGCTTGGGCCAAGGGCTTCTAGGGATTTTAAATGCCTGCAGCAGGCACCAGCTTCATCTCTGCTGATAGCCTCTCCTCTCCCTCCTTGGTCCTGCTCCCCAGAATGATCCTACAACAAGCATGGCACATGGAACACGATGTACAGATGGAGCTCCTGATCCCATTGCAGTCCCTCACTGAGCCAGGGATCTGACCAGAAGGAGTTGTCCATACACACCTCTTGTTTGGTTTTTGGGGATGGGGAGCACAGCTTTTAAAATGTGACTTCCCTTAATCTACATGAGCACAGCTACTGCTCGAATAAGGTTGTCTTCCTCCAAATCAGAAACACAAGACATAGGAAAACTATCTAAGAATCAGTGTCGAGATGGAATTATTCCCTGAAAATTTGTCTCTAGCCCTTCATCCAGCATTTGGTCTGGTTTAATCAGTCCTGAGTCTTCATGTGATCTACAAAGCTGAGCATTAACCACAGAGTAAACCCTGCATCTGAGACACCACAATACACACCTGCACTACTGAACACATCTGGATGCCAAAAGGATTTACCCATCTTCTCTGGCTGCCTGAGGTTAAGGGACTGAGCTTTGGAGACTGAAATTACTTGGGAACTGTCCAAGCCTTTCAGCCTCCTTCCCCTCCCTCTGGGCAGACCATCTTTATAAACAAGATGTGACTGTCCTCATGTTCATCTTTCTTCCCATGTCTCCAGACTTTATCCCTCAAGGTTTTGACCACCTGAGCCAAGAATCAGTCCACTTCCATCCCCCAGACCCCAACTCAGAACACTTTGATCTTCCAGATATGAAAAGGCTTAGAAGAATAAGAAGCCACAGAGCCAGTCCTGGCCCCTGAGGCTGAGCCAAGGGCAGCAGGGACTCCTCCAGGCAGGAAGTCTGAGCTGCAGGAGCTAGCTAAGCTCTGATGGCCACATGACCGTCTCACCCATAGGCTTTGTCCCAGGTTGACCAGTCCTTAGTGCCTGACTGTCACAGAGCCAACACACCCCTCCAGTCTCCTCCTCTGGGTCTGGAGGCCAAAGGTCCAGCCTCACCCTTCCCTTTCCCCAAATGACCTTGGGAATGCCATTTACCTACATGCCTTCAGTGACTCATACAATAGGGATAATTATTTATTCTCTGCCAGAAGTCGGGGGCCTATCTGGACTGTGTTATCTCTTCAGGTCTCTAGACACCTTTGATTCCTCCCCAAACCATCCCTCCCCCACCTTCTGGAGATAAGAAATGAAAGTCACAATCACAATCATTTTTGTAGTACTTAGTGTGTGTCAGGCTTGTGACAAGATCTTCACCTGCATTTTCTTTTATAAGCCTGACAACAACCCCAAGACAGGGGTTATTATCCCCATTTTAGAGATGAGGAGATGGAGACACAGACAGGCAAATAACCTTCCCAGAGCCACGCAGCTGGCCAGCAGTGATGCAAGAGCACTGTGGAGTCCCCTTCCCCAGGGCCCTCTTCTGCCTCTCAAGAAAGTCTTCAACTGACTGGAGCAAATGCCCACAGCAGACATCGGTGAATCAGAGGGCTTGAAGTGGCCCCTTCCTGCTGCTCCTGATCCGCTGGGCAAGTGACTAGTGAGCAGGACAGCCTGCCAGGGGAGGACAGGCTTCCCTGCTCACTCTGGGTGAGACTGTCTCTCACAGGCCTTTTCTGCACACGGCCTGCAGGCCCAGTAATGGCACCAAGCTAGCCCTCAAGAGGAAGGACCACATCTCTTGCTAGGAGCCCTGAGAAGCCTCTGCCAGTAAAAATTGACCTGCCTCTGTTTTCTCTCTGGAAAGACAACACGGAGAACCTTATACTGGTCACCCACATGGGTTGTGCCTACCTTGTCCACAGTAAAGGCCTCCTCACACTTAACCTCAATCTCTCCTTGTGTAACAAAACCTTATGTTCCAAGAAGAGAAGAGGAAGGCTGTTCACAGGTTCCCCAGGTCCTGGAAGACCCACCTTGTCGATGAAGGAGGCGAACTTGTTGTTCAGAGCCTTGATCTGCTCTCGCTCCTGGGCACGCACTTTCTGGATCTCGGGGTCCAGCTCCACGTTGAGGGGGGCCAGGAGGCTCTCATTGACGGTAACCTGGTGGATGCCTCCAGGTGGGCATACAGTTGGGCACACAGGCCCCAGGGCCACACTGCCAAACATGCTGCCAGCAAAGCCGCTGGCCCGGCCCCGGCCAAATCCATAGCCTCCACTCTTCCCGCTGCCACTGGCCACATTGAGGGAGATGCTCCGGGCTCCCCCCAGGCTGTAGAGGCTCCGACTGCCAAAGCTCCCACTGAGCCCTTTGCTCCCTGCCCGGAAGGAGGATGAGCTGCCCCCCGAGAGCACGGCCGAGCAACCACTGAAGCCCCCCTTGGCGGCAGCTCCTGACTTGCAGGTGAATTGGCGGCTCATGTTGCTGTTGCAGACAAAGCTCAGATGCAGGAGGGAGGAAGGCAAAATCCCAAAAGGTTCTGCTAGTTGTAGTGAGGACTGGCAGGTGCCTTTATATGTGCTTGGCACTGGGGCTTGTGGATGGGCAGTCAAGAGCTTAATTCGTGGGTTTGGCTTGCCTGGGAGCAAGAAGTCATTTTCTCTATGCTGAGCTAGAGATCAAGCCCTCCCCACCTCTGAAACAACATTTAACCTTCAAATTGCTGGGCTTGCAAGCTTTGCTCATGTAATTTGGGTCTTATCTAATTAACCTGCTGTTAGAGTAATTTGCCCCAGGCCCCAGCCTCTCCAGGGGGATGTCACTGGCACTGCGCCATCCCTATCCTGATTAATCTTCTCTGGGTTGTTGGCTTCCTCCTGGGGATACAGCAGATGAAGACAGGATGGACTTTCCTGGACAGTTCAGGACACTGGGTATAGTACCGGGGCCTACAACTGCTGTTCTCCTCCTTCCTGGAAAGGGATTGATCATTCAGGCATCACCTCTCCCCAGGCCTCCTGGAAATATAACCCATAGAGGGCAGCTGCTCTCACTTACGGGGTATTAGGAGGTGGAGTGACACTCTCCCTAGCATGGGATAGGAGCAGCCCAGGCCAGAGCCAACCATGGGCACTATCCTCACTTCACCCCTCTCAAACACCCATAATAAAGCAGGCTGGAGGCTTCAAACACTGGAGAAAATGACGAGGAGAAAAGGAGGATGGAGTTGGGGCAGGTGGCTGAGAAATTCGGGGACTCGACTGGAAGGAGGTACAGAGAAGACAAAGAGAGAGGCTGGCCCATGGCCTGGAGGGTTACGGAGATTCCCAGGTGGTCCGTTTCATCATTTCTGTCTCTCCTCCAGTGTGTATCTGCTAATAAGACTAGGAACAACTTGAGGACAGTAATCATCTATTTAGAGTTCAAATAAAGAAGCTGTTATCAACATGAAACTTAACTCCTATTGCATCTCTCCAGGCCCAAGTGGGCCAAGAACAAGGCTGGCTGAGCCCTCCACAGGAGTGTAAGCCTCCAGGCAAGCTCAGGCCAGAAAGACCCAATGGGGGTGACCCAGTAAGCACGATATCATTCTAATCCAAACAGTCCTTTGATGCCAGCCCCAGAGATGCTGCAGGCCCTGCATCCTAGCCACTGGCTCCCATGATGGGCCCCAGCTACTCCCATGATCTCCATTGCCACTGTGGCCCTATTCAACCCAAGGCAGCTCTGTCCCTGAAGATCACCCTTGCCCAGAGATCCCTGCTGGAGCCCCATGGGTGAGCTGCAGCTCTTGGCTGGATGGGGCACTGGAGGGAAGAAAATCTGGAGACAGGCTGGTTTGGGGCTCTCTCTCACATTGTTTAGGGGAAGAGCCTGGACTCCAGTCCCTCCCACTCCTCTGCATTCCTTCCGCTACTCTTGCCCCTGCCATTTTGTCTTCTTCATTCTTACTAAAACCACCAGAATTTTTCTATCCTTCCGTTCTGTCTTTCTCACCTTCCCTCCTCATCCCTCCCATCCATCTTCCTTCCGTTCTTCCCTCTCAGCCTTTCGCCATCTCTTGTTCTGTCACTTCCCTATCCTGCTCTCCTCCAGGAGGTCTTTCTGCACCCACACTGGCCAGGTCTGAGCTCTCTTCACCTCCCTTCGCTCTGAACACATCCTTAGCACATGCTGGAGGGGCTGCAACTCTGTGACAGCTTCCATGGGGCTCCTCTGAAGCCATGTCACATGTCATCTTAGTTTTTCTTTGTAAGGCTAGTAGAGTCTTCTCCAGATTAGAGACCACTTAATGTACTCTGAGATGGAGCAGGGACCCCCTCTTAGGGGCCTGCAGGTCCCCTCAAGCATGGAAATAAAGGAAAATCTTGAGTTCCTCAGGGGGAATTCTGGGCACCTTGCTAGCCTGGAGAAATAAATAAGCAACTTGATAAGCAAGAAAGTAACAGTAGCCCAAAACAACAGCCATGAAAGCTAGAATCGTGGGATGTTTGGTTCCCTTATAGAAACTAAAGATAGCATCTTAACATATGTCCCTGAGTTGTTTGTCAGAAACCTAAACCCCACCAAAAGGGACGCCTGGGCATATAGACCTCAGATAAAGGGACACCGGGCACTAAGCTCTGACCACCACTCTTTGTTCTAAATTTCTTCCCAAGGGAACTGGAGAATGTCACACCCACAAACCAGAGCTAACATTCTGTTCTGCTGACCCCAAATTTTTAAACAAAGTTTCTCTTCCTTAACAAATTGCAAATCGGAAAATCTTTGAATCTATTTATGACCTGACCTGTAAGCTCCCACTTAAAAACATCCTGACCAAACACCGCATGTCCTCACTCATAAGTGGGAGTTGAACATTGAGAACACATGGACACAGAAAGGGGAACAACACACACCAGGCCTGTTGGGGGATGAGGGGTGAGGGGAGGGAACTTAGAGGATGGGTCAATAGGTGCAGCAAACCACCATGGCACACGTGTACCTATGGAACAAAGCTGCACGTTCTGTACAGGTATCCTATTTTTTTTTTAGAAGAAATAAAGAAAAAAAAAGACATCCTGCCCTTTTAGGCCAAAGTCAATGTGTAGCCTTCATGTATTGAGTTTTGCCTGCAACTTCTGCTCTGCTGATATTTACTCCGCCTTTAAAGCCTCTGATCTTCAAGCCATCGGGGAGGTTGAGACTTCAGCATTAGCTGCCTGGTCGTTCTTGCTTGGTGCCCTGCAAATAAACACCTTCCTTTCCACTGCTGCAAACCTCTGTGTAGATATCAACAACACTGGATGTCTCATGCCTAATGGCCAGTGTCTTCCTGGGCCGGGCAAGTGGACTCCAGTTTAGTTTTAGAATTCCTGCCTCCCTCCCACCCTTCCTTTCTTCCTTCAGTGGACTTCTACTGAGTGCCTGCTGTATGCTGGCACCATACTCAGCACGGGGGACACAGGAGTTGGCGGTGTGCACTGAAGACTTGAAGGTTTTCTAGAGCTTTTGCGTGTGGTCCTTCATCTCTGGCTCTGCTGGCTGCGTTTCTCGACATGCATGGCAGAGCCCTAGCCCAGCCTTCAGTGTCCCTGCTGCTGCTGCAGCCAACCTGACCCATCCCACAACCTCCTCCTTCGATGCTCCCTGCCCCGGCCAAGGACATCTCACCCACTGGCCCCACCTTCAACTACCTCCAAAATTTTGCCAAGTTATTCTTACTCAGCCTGGAACCCCTTCTCTCCCGATCTCCTCTGACCCCAATCCCACTGCTCTTCTGAAATCCTGCTTAAAACACTGGATTTTGCAGTCTCCCCTCCCCAGCGTCCCAACTCCTCTGTCCATTGACACCCATGCGCAGGTTGCTGCTTCCTAGGGCCTGGGTCCTGCGTCCTGGGGAGGGTCCCATGTCCACAGTCAATTCGTCCCTCTGTGCCTTCCCTGAGAGCCCAGGACCAGCCTCTAAACACCCACTCCCAGGTACAGGAGAACCAATGAATAGCCCCTTGTTGGAGAAGCAACAAAACAGAGCAGAGTCAGGGCATCTTTAGGGGACTTCTAGCTGTGTGTCCATCTGGAGTGGCACCAGGTTGGAGACCAGGCTGCAGGGATCTGAATTCCACGCCGCCACTCAGCAGCACAGTTTGCTTGGTCTCTCTAAGCCTCAACTTCCCCAGCTATAAACGGGAAATAAACTCCTGGTGGGATAGTTGTGATGACGACACATATTAATCCATAGAAAGTGCCTACTTTATAAAATACATAATAAATGGTATCAGCAACTAAAGCAGAGAGCTCAGTAGATTTGGGGAATTGGCCTGTCCTCCCCTCTCTCATTTCTCTCCTCTGGACCAGCACATTCCCATGCAGTGTCATCCGATGTTGGAGGAAAGGGAGGGAGTGGGGTTCCCACAGGCCCCAGGTTCAAAGAATCTGTCGACTCAGACCCTCCTTGATATTGGAAAATTCACAGTTAAAAATAAAAATAGTAGGCCGGGTGTGGTGGCTCAGCCTATAATCTCAGCACTTTGGGAGGCCAAGGCAGGAGGATCACTTGAGGTCAGGAGTTCAAGACCAGCCTGGCCAACATGGCAAAACCCCATCTCTACTAAAAATACAAAAAAAGAAATAGCCGGGCATGGTGGCTCGTGCCTGTAGTCCCAGCTACTCGGGAGGCTGAGGCAGGAGAGTGGCGTGAACCCAGGAGGTGGAGCTTGCAGTGAGCCAAGATCTAACTACTGCACTCTAGCCTGGACGACAGAGTGAGATTTCATCTTGAAAAACAATAAATAAATAAATAAATAAATAAATAAATAAATAAATAAAAATAACAGCCACCGTCTAATAAGTGCTAGCCAAGTACAAAACTCAGGAAGAGGCACTTTACAAACATTATAGCAGATCTTTTGGAATTGACCCTTTCATCAAATATTTATTGAGCACCTACCAAGTGCTGAGGGGCCATAAAAAGTTTCCTGCCCTCAAAGGACTTAGTCTCTTGGTCCCTCCAAATACCAGCACCCCTGGGAGAAGCAGTTCATCAAGCTATTAACAAGTGGTTAACACCTTAGCATGAATTAGTTAATCAGACACTGGCCATTAGGCATGAGACACCCAGTGTTTTTGATGAGGCCATTGATACAGAAGGAAGGAGAGTTGGGGACCTCCCACAGGAAGGGAGGGCCTAGGTGGGGCTCCTGAGGTGCCTGTGTTTTTCTGGAGGGAAAAACGGGGAGACTGAAGGAAACCAGGACAGGGCCACAGCTCACCAGGGGGACAAAACCCCCTCTCCCCCTAGTCCTGCTTTAACTGAGACCTGGGAAGATTTAGGGGTGGGAGGAGACAGCACCCCTGCTTGGGGAGCCCTCTGGCCTGGTGAGGAGGCAGGATGTGAGCTGTCCATCTGACTCTGTCTTTCTTTCACGCCCTCCATGGGAGGGGGTCCAGCTTTCCACACGAGAATTGAATTCTGAGCAATGTTTGGGCAGGCGTGGACATCTCTGGGCCAGTTATACCCATCTGTGAAACGGTCAGGGGAATGTGTCGTATCAGAGGATCAAACCCCCAAGATACCAGGAACATCTGGCTTGGACATTCAAGAACAAATTAAATGGCTTGTTACATTACATTTGTGTGGCTCTTGGTTTTATTGCCACATGTTTTATTTGGTTTACATGTATAATTTGTAGTTTTCTTTGTTTTGTTGTTTCTGTGTCTGTGATGATGACCAGTTTGACACATTTGTGTGTGAGCCCACGGCTCTAATTTGTATCTTGTTCTTTCCTTTCAGCA